TCATCATCTTCATGGATTGTTGTTTAAATTGTCAGGAGACACCTTTGGCAATGTTGTGGTAGAGAGCCGTCTCCAAGCTCGTGTCAATCAAAACCGTTAATTTCCTCCTCGGGTGTTTGGTTTTAAGCTCCAGGCACATCACTGATGCCACGGTTTATTTTCTGTAGTCACACATTGGCAAATACGAGAAGGATTTCTTCTAAAAGTAAATATCAGAGGGTTATGGATTGAGAATGCATGGGCCGCATCAGCCTGTGAACATGTCAAAGTCCACGTCCTTCCCTGCTGGCACCACAGACTACACCAGTGTGTGTGCGTTAAGATAATTCCCCAATTCATGGAACATGCTCAACCTACCAAATCAAACAAGCTAAGTCCGATTCTGTCAGTGACTTTGGACTTCGAGACAGGTTTGCTTTGTAGAGCTGAAATATAAAAAAGTGTGTATGTGTGCCGCGTTAAGTGTCGAGACGTCTGCTCCGATGTTGTGATTAGGGTGGCTGACTATTTGCTCTGGAGTGCAGCACATTCCTCTCAGCCTTAATTGATACCAATTATGCGGCTTTTGATTTGGTGTTTGATTGGGAAGAAGTTGTGAGGCCTTGATTCGAAGGGCACAGAGTTTTTATTGTGTTTGGAACCTCGGGGTTGGATGCCTGAATGATAGCCTGCTACCTTGTGAGTAACATCAAGGAATGCCAGCGGGTCATTTTGCCCGCGCTATTTTTAATGTTGGGTTTCAGATTTTTGTTTTTTTGCGTCCTGCCATCGCAAAAGGAAGCTGGAAAGCCACTCAGTGTATAAGTATATTCCCCCTGTGCCAAAGGGTTGTCCATCTTACTGGGTGTTTTTTTTTTTCTTTAAATAACTACAGGATTTGTCCCTCCAGGGGACACCTGGCTTGTCCCCCACCTCCACGGTGTAAATGCTCTCTAGCTTAAACTGCCAGATGTTATAAAAGGCTCCATTGAAGTAAACCTTTAGCTCATAAAAAAGGGGGTTGTAGGCGGGTGGCTGAAAAGTCTATCCTGATAGCTTCAGTGACCACACTATGTCATCTGATTTAACATGGAGGCTCACATATGTAACTCTTTGGGAAAAATAAAGCGATTTGGAGCCAAAGGTGAAGTATGGCAGTGCCAAATGTGTCTCTGCTTTGCTCAGATGTGTAATTGAAGTCACCAGTTCTGCGCAAGCAGGCTGGAAATAAAAGGTTAATTCTAAAGATGTCACAGTATGACTGAGAGTTTCTGACATTTCCAACACAGAGTGAGGGAAAACGACAGAGAGGGAAAAAACCCATCCAAAGCTTAAAAGAAAGAGGAAGCAGTGGCATGAGTGAGACGGAAACTTGAGATATTAGGAAAAGAAATGGAAAAGAAGAAAATTGGTTTACAGTTGTCTGTCTGCCATTATTCCTTCTCTCTGACAGTCTGACCCACACACACACACACACACACGCACACACACAAACATGCAAAGCTGTTGCTGGCCCAGCTTCTTGTTTGTACTAACACTGTCATCTGAAGCCCATTTATTGATTGGCTAATGTGCCAGACCTGAGGGCTCATGGTGCTTGGATCAACCCCCCCGCCCTTCCGATTACTTCCTCCAACTTTCATGCAGTGCACGCTCTAAAACGGACACACACGCAAACACATTCACCCACGCTCTCCCTGCCCCCTCTCCCTCCCTCCGCTTCCCCAAGATACTCTTGAGAAAGAACGGGAGCAAGTCAGACAGGAGACGGCAGGCAGGGAGGCAGACACAGCACGCAGAGTGACCCACGGAGGAGGCCGTCACGCATCGGACCCAGACACACACGCAAAAGTACTCACGAGCAGATCTGGAGGGACTGGGTCTCACACACGCGCGCGCACACACACACACTTTGAAAAAGGCATGGAACAAGACTTTTCATCCTGCATGCTGTTGATGACAGCTCTTCTACTTCTGGTACTGTGATTTTTACCCTGTTATCTCAATTGCATTTTAAAGTTTTTATTTTGTCTTTGGTTATTAATGTCCTCTAAAAGCATCTATTTGAGTGTTTATGCTTGCATGTGTGTGTATTTTGAAGTAAGCAGTGCACTCTCCACATCCTGGAGTCTTCTCAACAGTAGCTTTGCCAGGTCAGCTACAGCAGTCCTGCAGCATTGTCTTATTATTATATTATTATGTTTTTTAACCTAAGCCATGAAAAAAGGACTTGTGCATGTGGAGGTCAGCGAGCTGCAGGCTCACTGTTACATTACAGTGCCTTCCTCACAGCGTGACCGTGAGTACAGTACTGTGCTGCGCAGTGCTGGCCACATGACAAGGGATTTAGCAGATGTGCAAATATCATGTGTCCTTGCCAACTGCAAAGGCCGTCGTATTGACACAGTCTGCAAAAGAAGGCACCAGAGTCGGGTTTCTTTTTCCCCTTTTTCAGGAGTTTTCCATCTTCAGGGAAAGTGTTTTTAGTCTCAGCTGCTGACAGGTGACTTAAATAGAATCCGTCCATCAGAATAACTCATAACGTGGAGTTAAGTGATCTTTAATCATATGCTCATTTCCGCTTTTTTACCTTGTGGAAAAACAAAGGCCTTGCAGTTGTCACCCTTGTGTATTTGCTCTGGTTTTTTTTCACAGTATGAGCACCAGTGAGCAAATAATAGTTTGTGTTTGCAAAGATGCTTTTGCAAAGAGTTTTAGGAAGCATTATGAGTCAGTTATGGGTGCATGAACGCTCAAATGAAATAAGAAGCGCGATAGATCATAGCAGAAGCGGTGGGACGTGCAGGGATGGAGGGTTAAGGAAGAGTAGATATCTGAGCCTTTTGATTATTGGCTCCAAATCCCAGCAGGACAGCCGTCCAGCTAGCGGAGCCTTGTCTTCCTCCGCTTTCATTGAGAACAATAGCAGCGCAGCGAGCCAAACAACCTCTTCATCTCCATCCCTTCATCCTTCATCTACTTCCACTCCTCTTTCTTCGCAAGCCTCTCTGCGCCTCGAGCACTCTTGGCTTTGCAACACACAGCCTCAGTCGTAATTGAGTGCAAAATTCACTGATTGCTTTTCAAAGGAGAATTAAGGTGGTGCACTAACCGGCTGCCCAGAGCGCAGCCTGTGTTTATTTACCGGGATCCAAACATTGAAATAGTTGGCCCGTGCAGAAAGTAGCGCCGCTGCCGATATGTTTGGCTGTATGCTCCGCTGGCTGTGTTTAGGTTTTGCCATTCCTCTCTGCTGTTCCTCAGGCGTCATCAGCACTGACAGCCATTTATATCAGTCCCCACGCACTTTTAATAACGTGAACCCGCCATCCCCTCTCAGGACTGTACAGCATGGGTGTTTTTCCTCCCATGACCCAAGGAAAATAATCGGAGCCCTATTATTGCATTGTTACTGTTTTTCTTTGCACGATCCATTCATCTCTGTATTTGAAGTGCACTGCCATGCTGTTCGAGGGAGGAAAAAGGGGGTAAAGAGGTCAGCATGAACTGGCTTTCCCCTAAAAAACCTTTCTATCTTAAAGCATTCTACTTCAAACGCAAGCCTGGATCTTCACTGTAAACTGCCCAGTAGGTGCAAATTCATTTTCTGAACACACCCCGCCCCTAATGTTCAGCGGCTTCTGGGTAAATGAGCTTGTTTAGGGCTCACATTTCATGCCTAATCTGCAAGAGCTGGAAATTTTAAATCACTGTCAAAAACTCTGTTGGATGTGCAGACACAAACTGCCGCCTCACGGTGTAAAAGTCCCTATTGTGCGACGCTGTCCAGAGCACACAATAGCAGCATTTCTGCAATGTTTGGAAAAGAAGTCTTTCATGGTCCAGCAGCATTATGAAGACTGAGTGGTTTAAAAAAATGATAATTTTTCTCTTGTATTCATCTGCTCCCATTGAACACTCCCAAACCGCCTTGGAAGATTGGCAGGTTACTTTATTGACTGTGTTTGCGCTTCGGTCTACTGAGCCACATTCCTGTTGCCACAGGAGGTGGACGATTTGTCCCAGTGTTGGTTCCAAGTTCCAAGTCTTTTTTTTTTTTTTACTTTTCCAAGTTGTCATCCATTAAACAGGTACAGGACCAGTTTTTTCCTTTACCTCAGTCTCACTGGCAGGTTTTAAGTAGAATACCTTCACTGAGTCCTTGTTCTAGATAGCAAAAACAATCTGTTTCCCTTTTCACCTAATCTGAGCCCGGTATTCAGAAAATGCAGCTCTCTATTGCTTCATTCAGTCAGCTCTGGAAAGGGCATTGAGAAAAGTGAAGCGGAGGAAAACTATCTTGACTTAAACACAACAATAGATATTGCCATATTGCCTGACAGCAGCGGCATTATAAATAAACCTTTCCCTACGAGCACGGCGAGTTAGTCCACTCAGAAAATACCAAAGACTTTATGAGGTAAACAGGAGCTGAGATAGCGAGGATCTTAATTTTTTTTGGCTGTCACCCTACATCCGAGACGCACACTGTCCTTGTAGTTGTAAAATTTAGCTTCTCATAATATTGATTTTGGGTGGCGCAGTAATATTCCCGTCTCCGCTGCCAAATACAGCACAATGCAATTAACAGAGAGAGGCACACGAGTGTGGCCCGAGCCTTAAGCAAGGACTAATATTTCAAACTTTAATGCATGACTCAGACATTTTAAATACGCAAAAGGGCCAGAAGTCAAGAACTCGTGATTACTTCCTCTTACTGCCTCTCTTTTCCTGTCATGTGCACTTTTATTGTAGTTTTTAGGTTTTTTTAAGCTCCTCAATTTAAGGAATGGCTGCAGGAAGCCACAACTCACTTGGCTAAAGAGCTGCTTTCTGTAATGATGGGAGATCTTTGCTAAGTCATAAGGTCAAAGAGTCCAATATAAAGATGACAGTGAGCTTCAGTGATCAGTTTATTTTATCTCAGCTTCTGTAGAGCTGATGAAGGCTGATAACAGCAGACGCCTGTTATCAGAGTGTCCAAAACACTGCATATTAACGTCTCTTCTTCTGGTGTGTAGAGTTCTCGTACCGCCCGATCAGAAGAGGACAGAGACACGCTTTGGGACGCCTGGGGTTCCTGGAGTGAATGCTCTCGTACATGTGGCGGAGGAGCCTCCTACTCCCTCAGACGATGCCTCAGTTCCAAGTAAGACCCAAAAGCCTCACAGAGGTAACCTGTGAGAGAACATGCAACAGTGTCGGGAGAGCTGGTCTGGTTCTCTTCATAGAGTAAGATTAACATTTGCAAGGCTAACGTCTCCTGCAACATCAGACTTTTCAGAAGGAGAAGCCGCACACGTAAAAATATTGATGATGGAGTAATAAAGATTAGAGATTGCTCACATTCTTGCAGACATTACTAGAAGTTAACATGCTAAACTGCTTTTCCTTATTTCTGTCATTGAGGTAAATATTATAGTTGTGGGTGGGTGTTAAATAATGGGGTCAGTGTATTTACTACTTCATATTAGCCAAAAGTTCAACTTAAGGCTCCTCTAGAAGCTCAATTTCAGGTGTTTTTTCCAAATAATGGGTCTTGCTGACATCAGAGAGAGCGGATATCCTAATATGGTCATCTAATTTGTAAGAGGCAGCCAAGCAGCCAAAAACCTCTTAAAGGGAGAGAAGCTAAAAGACAAATGAGGATTATTTTATTTTTACAATCCTTTGGGCAGCATTTACACTGTACTGATATCAGGTCTAAAAATCTCAGATGCAGAAAAAATTCCAGAAAAAACAATCATTTTGAGAAGCAGGGGCATAAAGAGCCTTTTTAAAACAAAAATCAGTGGCCTGATGTAACTGTTGAGTTTATAGCGCAGTCATTAAATGATGACTACATCACAGCAGGAGAGCACTTGCTGTAAATTGAAAGTTAGAACCTCAGTGACCCTCAGAAAAATGGAAACATCCCACCGGCAATTTGTTAGCGTGTGTTCAAACGTGATCTGAGCTAATCCCCTCTTCTAAAGTAGAAAGTCCTGACTGAAGTTGGACGGATTTCCATCAAAATGCAACATCATTGCTTTTAGGTGTAGGCAGGGGTTTTAATAGTGTGAGTAAATCCCACAAATCAAATCCTCCATTCCCTTGGGTTGTAAGTGGAGTGCTCAAAATACACATGACTGTTAAATATCCCTGAGTGGATCCACTATGGACCCGTCTAGACAGCCATGTGAGCCAAAATCTTGAATTCATCATTGACGTTTGGAATCTGAATTTCAGTAATGACCCCAACATGTTTGCTCACAGATCAGAGCAGAACAATCAGTGACTCTTGCGAAACTACATGCCACTTTTAATAAGTGTTTTATGTGACAGAATTTGGGCTGTGCAAACACGGAGTCCCGCATTGGATGGATTCCCACTGCTCATCATCTCAGGCTTATATCAGGAACCTCTTAATCCTTGTGCCAGAGTCACCTGGTCGGTAAGGTTTCAAGCTAACCCACAGTGCTCCAAGATTAAAGCTCAGGGACCGAGTGCATTGGGTAAAGTGGTCAATTCTAAACAAATTTAAGGAACAAGTGGGAAAAATGGACATAAGAAGGGAGACAGTACATTTTCCTTAGAAATGTTGTCACATTTATAGGCTGGGAAATAGCTGCAGGGTGACTTCACTTGCATTCCTCTGTTTTACAGTTCCCAGAATATACTGCTGCTCAACTCAAGGTAACCAGTGACGTTTGCTGCTGGCTGCAGAGGTAGCACCCCTAGTGACAGGACTAGTCACTCAGATCATGAAACAGTGCAATAGTCTAGGATCAAACTGCCAGAACAGCTCACATCATTCTTGAGGTCACAACCGAGGTACTGTGAAAGGCTCTCATATGTCTGCAACCATGAATCCATCTGCACTGGCACTAGACAAAAAGACTGAGCAGCATACGAGTGCCAGAGGGCCCCCACCCCCCACCCCCCGTGTACTGCACTGTAAACATTGAGGTCAATGTCTCTTTGAGGAGTTCATTTCACGATCTCTGGAGCAACCACTTCTCTTTGCCTGCCCAGAATATTTTGGTCAGACAAACCTCAGGAGTAATTGACTTGTTAAGAGGTGTTTGGGGCTTGAGCTTCATACGGGACATAGGCAGCGTGTGTATGTGTTGATGTACATTCTCTGCCTCCTCTAAGTCCAGGCAGGTTTGTTTACCAACTCTGGCAGTTGCCATAATGTATGGAGCTCTTGAGCAAATGGTAGGAGGCTTCGTTCCACCTTGTCCCACCTCACCCTGCTCTTGCGTGGGAATGAGGGAGTCGTAGCCTGGCCTCGGGTAGCAGATCAAACGGCATCATTAAAAAGCATAGCACAAGGCCCCTTGTGTATGTGTATGTGTATGTGTGTGTGTGTGTGTGTGACTCTTTGGAAAAGGGAGCTGGAAATAGGCCTGCAACACCCTCCAAACCAATACCATTCCAACTCTCTGACTTTTTAATGCACACACGCACATACAGGGCACTTATTGCTACTGCAAAACACACCAGAGTTAGTTAACCTCTCGAAAGGGCACGTGCAGAAGTACAGACTATCCGCAGATTACCTGGCCTTCATTACTTCTATCCACACAAGTTACTGCACTTGATCGCCGGCTTCTTTATTAACAGCAGCATAGCTGGTTGGATCCAAGTGTGAACATATGGATTAGGTGTCATGGCAAGAAAAAGTGCTGCTCCAATATTAATGAAGCACTAGGCAGGAAAATATTAATCTGTATATGTTATTAAAAAGAAAAAAAGAAAGATCCAACCTCAACTTTGTTTAGAAGAAATTCACAAAGAATTTGACTGTGTCGTTTGTCACCATGACACCAATGGGAAGTAAATATCAACAACTGTAGGCAGGAGATGTTTCCTGTAGCAATGGGGTCACATATGTACTGAAATTATACAGTGGGTGACATGAAGTGACATTAGGCTGTGAAGGCATGCCGCAACTTTTTAAAGGCAAAAGTGGGTGAAAGTGAAATTTCTCCAGGGCAATGAAATGTTAAATTAAGGTTGGCCTAGCAACCAAGATTATGTCTCTTTTACAGCCTTGGGAACCACTCTGTGTGGTCCATGCTGTGTTATTAACACCTCCATCCTTTTTAGTAATATTCCTAACATTAGTAGACCTACAGCTCTGCCCTACAAATGACTAAAAAGACAAAATATATCATGATTAATTTCACTGACAACTGCAATATTTTTGCCTAATCTCATGATACTCTGGCCTCTGTTATGCTCTTTGTTCCATCTTTTTCAGCTTCTCGTTATCCTCCTGAGATAAACAGTAAACTCTTAGCTTTCCTAAACTGATCAATAGCAGAGCTCATAGCTTGAGCATATTTTAGGCGTTAGCAAATCAGCTACATTTTTGTTTGCCCACATGTCTCAAGTGTATCAATATTGTGGCATGGGTTTTGGAGCCCTGCGTGCAATTACTTTCAATCTTGCAAGAAGAGTTGATGACATATATATGGACATTATGGGCCGGATGAATTTTACTGCGTATCCAATACTAGCCCAATTTTTTTATGGTTACAGTAGATTTTCCTTTTTTCTGTTTAATGCTATAGATGGTACTTTTAGTCTTTGTTGAGTCTCGTGCAGTTAACTAATGAGCGCACTCTCTGTAGTTGTCTTTTTGTGTTTGGGGTCACAGTTTGTGAGTTATGTTTTATGTGCTCCAAGACTTCTGATATTTCAACCGAGTTATTTTTCCCTAACCTATGATGACGCCATGATGAATCCCATGTCCTGCCCTACGTCTGCTTAGCCTCCACTTTAGAGCTTCTAAAATCAAAAGGAAATGAAAAGGGAAATTCATTTTATTCCCTTTGCCTCTTTACGTCTCGTTTATATATTGCTTGTCCCAGTGTGAGTTTCCACGCTGATCCAGATCTTAGCTACCTGTCTCTCAACTCTTGGTCTTTGAAAGTCTCTTGTTAGGGGTTCAGGCCCCTACTGTTTGATTTGGCAGAGGGGACCGTCTGGATTCGTCACAGGTTCTAATGTTCTTGCCATGCCACATGGTCCACATCCACTCCCTCCATTCTCTGGAATAACATTGTAAAAAACCTTAAGCCTTCGTTCACTGCTGAGTCCAAAGTCAGTGACGTCTCCAATCATGATTCCAGATTAGCTAAGGGCCAGTGACACTGGAATTCCTCTTAACTTCCCAAAAGAATACCATTTGATTAGTTTCCACTGGGGTCTTTGATAATTGCCCTATCATAGTCACCATCAATGGTTTATCATCACTCTGCATCAAAGCACAAAGAAATCCTCATTTTCAATAAGTGGTTAGCTCGATAATTTGGGCAGAGACAAAGCAGACTGTCATGCAGGGAGTCGTGATCCAAACTGCTCCAATCTGTTCAGCAGACGCAGGCTGGAGGGCTTTACTCTGTCTGCGTTACTACTGCGTGCAGCTTTGCATTTTTTCAGACACACAGAGAAAATGGGACTCCTATTTTTAAATGTTGTGAAACTCGTGTTAAAGCTTTCGATTTTTGAGATTTTCTTTTACAAGTAATAAGCTTGAAGTCAAATTGTCTATAAAGATTATTCATATCGCAGAGAATGGAGGAACATATGTCGAGTGTGGAAACTGAACTAGAGCCTGACTGCAGGGGAAATAATAGCTATCTGCTGTTATATCTATATCGGCATATATAGTAGCCAATAAATGAAAATGCAAAAGGTAAAGAAATAACACAGTTTTATGCGTTTTGCAGAATTTGTCCATCACAGTGCAATCTAATGCAGCAAGTGCTGGAAATCCACAAACAACAACCTGCTGGGCAGGTTGTAAGTACTGTTAGCTGCACAGAAAGTTAAATTATTCATCAAATAATTGCATTGAAGTTCTTCAAAAGGCACCAATGCCACAAACAGTGGTCCAGTTCACTAACAGATAGCTAGTGACTACTTGGCCACTGTGCTGCTGTTCTTTCCTTTCAGTCAAAGCAGTCGTGCTCAGAACTTTGCTAACTTTAAGTCTCAATGATAACAATTTTAAACAATGTAGCCCTGTACAATTGTTTATGAAGGCTGTTAATGTTTATTTCTTCTGTGTCGTTGGGCTTTATTCCAGTCTTTTAAATGCTTTGTGAGCCACCCTCAAGTGGTCATTTCAGGAACTGCAGTTTTTATCAGCTTCATTTCTCATCTTCAGCGTGCCACTGGATAATTATGCACAGTTACTTTGTGTGAAATACGCTGTTAAAGCTTTGCAAACGCACCACAGACTTATGTTCGTGGGTTGCCACATCAGCGCTATAATTTTCAATATGAATAATGAGGGAAGAGTCACTGGATGTAACACCAGCTCCTTCAGATGATGATGACTGGTTCATGTTATGGTTTGTTTTATCATTCTCTCCCACGGCCTATTTACCCATGGTTTCATTTTTTTTCCTTCTGTAGGACCTGCGAAGGACAGAATATCAAATATCGCACATGCAGCAATGTGGTAAGTTGAACCCACTCATCTTTGTGTCGTGGATGTCGACACAGCTTTCAAGTGTTTTTATTGAAGAAGTAAAACTGATATGGCAAATTGTGTCTAAAAGATTTATGGGTACGGGGTGTAATTCGGTGATTTGGGATCTTGCTGTTTGAGAGAAAGTAAGAAGTTGCATCAAACTTCTTCTGTTTCCATTTATTCTGCTAATTTCATGCAGCAGTCTTCTTCCCACACACACATTTAGAGATGGAAGACTTCATTCGCCCTGCCTTTTTCAAGAATGTAAAATATTTTAAAATATGTTTTAATGTCCCTCAGGATTGCCCTTCAGATGCCGGTGATTTCCGTGCCCAGCAGTGTTCAGCTCACGCAGATGAGCAATACCAGGACCAGTACCACGAGTGGCTGCCGGTATACAACGACCCAGACAACCCGTGTGCTCTCAAATGCAAAGCCAAGGGCTCAGGCCTTGTGGTGGAGCTGGCGCCCAAGGTGCTGGATGGGACACGCTGTTACACAGAGTCTTTGGACATGTGCATCAGTGGTATCTGCCAGGTCAGTAACCATGTCATGAACCTCAATTGCTTTGAAGTCATCAAGAATTTTGGTTTATTTCTTTTAATTTTTGAAGCCAAGATGTACATCTTGTGGGACTTGCATATAAAAACTTCTTTTTTTCAGTAAACTAAGCAAATCCTTATATTTAAGATCAGCTCACCTTAAAAATAACTGAGAAGTTGATCTTCCAAAGTAAATATATCCCAGTGTGTTGTAAAAAGTTTAGATTAAGCTAGTAAGGCAAGTGAAGTCTGTGTGATGCTCTGTGCAGCTCTTTGATTGGCAACCTTGGGTCCTGGTATTCATGTGGCATTACTTTGACATGTACAATCTGCTTAAACATTTTCACAGACCACTACACCCCTGCAACAATACTCTCAAATAGGTTTAGGATCAAGGTGTGAACTTCCCCAGATCTTAATTCGAGTGAACATTTGTGGGATGTCCTGGAAAAACAAGTCCAACAAGTCCGCCGAGGCCCCCGTCTTTAAACGATGTGCTGTCAGTGTGTCTGATACCGCAGTAGCCTCAGAGACTTTGATGGGCTAAAGCTGTTTGTGGAATAAGGGGAGCCTACACAGTATTAGACCAGTGGTTCTAATGTTGTCGCAGTACAGTACTCCTGTCAACACTGGTACGCAATTTTTTTCAATATTCAAATTTCAATATCGTGCATTTGAGAGCAAAAGCTAAGACGTAAATCTCAAGACCAGTGGACTACCTTACAGCACTAGCATCACGCCATCTGCTTTACAAATGAATATCCAATGAGTATTCCTTTAGATTTAGCGTTTGACTGACAGCCCAGGAAATATTTTGCAATGCATTTTCTGGGGTTGAATGGAATTATGTCCCAGGGCATCGTGTCTGCAGAGACTCAGAAGTGTCTCCCTTACAATGCTTGGAATGATATTGCGGTTTTTGGTTTTGTCTTGCTGACAGAAACTGCAAAACGAAATATCCACCATTCAACTATGGATGGCGTCTTAGTAATTCAATGAATGAATATTGAGGAGACCAGAGGGTTGTTTGAATCGCTTCATGGTAACACTTAAATGGTACTGAAGCTCCAACAGAACCAGCTCGAGTGCTTCATGATATCATATCCTTTCTCTTTACTTTTGTGTTGTTGCAGAAAATCTTCCCTGCTATCTTGTCCTCAAAACTAAGAAGGTAGAAGGTCTTTCAGGCTCTAAAAGTGAGGTGACTGTGCGTGTCATTTGTGATGTCTCAAAGTTTTTCGTGCTTCCTGTGTTTTCCAGATTGTAGGTTGTGATCATGAGCTTGGAAGCACTGCGACCGAGGACAACTGTGGAGTCTGCAATGGAGATGGCTCGTCCTGCAGGCTTGTGCGGGGACACTACAAATCCCAGCATTCTTCAGGAAAAAGTAAAGAATTGCTACTCTTTTTTTACAATTTTTATTAAATAAGGAAGTAATTGCTGAGCTAAAGAGGTCCTCGAGCAGATTTACTTGTTCACCACACAGACTATAAACAAGAGTTATAACTAAGCCCAATCAGCAGGGCAGTGTTCCTTTGTCAAATATTTGCATCATTGGCTTTGAGAGGTCAAACGACTATAAATAGAAGAATGCTGCAAAAGCACAGAGCTTGGGATGCCTGCCTCCATGCCTTTAAAATAGCTGCTTTGAAGATGGGAACCATGTCTGTGACCGCTCGCAGTCAGACGCCGTCTTCAGAGTAACTTCTGTTACTGCAACTTCTGGATTTGTTGCAGACCAGCCTAGATTGATTGAAGTATCTTGACAATCTGTCTACGTATATAAACTAGACAGCAGATATTTTCTAAACTTTCTGTCTGAGAGTGACTGCAAGCAATTCCAGTCAGACTGCAACTGTTTGGAGACAAGTTGCATCTCACCATGGGACCTCCTCAATCACCTCGAGGCTGAAAGTGTTGCACGTCTGAGCGACTAGCTAGTTGCTGCAACTGATTGCACTATTTTGAAATGAATTGCAACCACCAACTTTTCCTAGTCACAAGAAGGTTGCCATCCTTTTTCTACTCTAGCGTGTCTGAGTCATAAGTCGCTCGTTTTTAGCATTTGTGTCATATATTGATGTAGTGATTGGTACTGTTTCTTTGTTTTTGTTCAAGCTGAGGACACAGTGGTCACCATCCCTTACAAGAGTCGTCACGTGCGTCTGATCCTGAAAGGCCCGGATCACTTGTGTAAGTCCTGGTAGGTCCAGGGTGCCCTTCCATCCAAAACAGCTGAGCATGATCTCTGTGTTTGGCAGTGCTCTTTCATTTGTCAAATACTACACACTGAACACGAGTTCACCGCACCGCTCTGACTTTTCTGCACGGCGTGTTATGTTTTTAGCATGCTCCGATGCAAAAACAGTGAAACAGACACGGTGGTGACATTTTCATAACAGAAAACAGAAGATCGTACTTGGCAGGCCTTGAAATGAATGTTTCACACTAATAGCAATCTATGATCGATCTTTTACTCTGATTTCCAAAAGATATTACATTTTGGCCTCTCTAATAAAGACTCGTTTTAAAAGTAGCCCAGAGCAGACTAACCAGAAGAGATACGTGTTTCTTCCCTTTGCTCTGGCTCTGACAAGACATAAGGCTTCCAGGGAAATTCACTGATGTCAAAGTCCTGGCATCAAATCCTCACCGGATCAAATGGATAACAAATGTTTCACCTCTGTGCCTGTCCTTTGCTCAGTGGCTAGTTTCCAGATCATCTTCTGAATGGACAGCTTTTTCATTAGATATTTCCACCCCCCCCTATCCATTTTGCCCTCCGGCATCTTGATTGTAACCATGTGTTGCCTGGTGGTCACCACTTGTTCCCATGTATCTCTGTATTTTTTATTTTCTTTAAGCATCAACACTGAAGTTACACAAGATCCTGTATAGACAGGGATAAAGTGAGGTCAGTGAGGGGAAAGCATGCTGGCTACGTTAGCCTCATCACAGTGATAGAGTGACCACAGCACCCAGTCTGAGCTCTTTGTGTGTCGCTGGGTCTGACTGAAGGGTCTGTGATCAACATTTTAATCACAGCTCCAGAACTTAAGAACTTTACTCATAAAATATTTAAAAAATTAAAAAAATTAAAAGAAAGATTTTGTGGCAGGCAGCGGCCACACCTGTTTGTCTTCTCTTTGCACATATTGAGACTTTAATTGTTTGTTTTTTTACCTTCAGACATGGAGAGTAAGACTCTACAGGGGGTAAGAGATGAACTGGTCTTGGATAGACCCGGGCAGTACTACATAGAGAACACCACCGTGGACTACCAGAAACTTTCAGATAAAGAAGTCCTGAGAATCACTGGCCCACTCGGAGCTGACTTCACAGTCAAAGTAAGCGCTGACATTAATGCACATCTCTTTTTCTTTCAGGCTACAGCAGCCAGTATTTCTCATCATCTTGTTAAAAATTCGAGAAATTTCCGAATTGTCCATCTGTTCTACTTCAGGCTTGACGGGTGTCTTGCCGGGGACCTGAGGAAGGACAGATCTCATATTTTCTCTAAATATTGTTTTGTATTACCAAGGTGAAACAGGGTGTGACATATTTGGCTGTCTTTGTGAGAACATTCATTAACATCAATGCATTCCTTACTGTTAAGTTTAACCAGCATATTTATACAAGCCCCAGCCTAAACTTTAGCTTCAAAACCCAAGTTTTGACCCTCAAACAGGTCTTTGAATCTGCATGAAAAAACGAGGACCCGACACAAATTACTACTAATACAAAATGTCATCACCCTCCCAGCCACACGCTTGCTTTAGTTGATTTATATTCGAAGAAGTCGTCAGAAGAAAGCTGCAAACCACAATTGCCCTGTTCTGCAATCAGTAAATCCATCCTTGTAGATGTCCTCTTTGAAAACTTGCCATGATTTTCTGCAGATATGTTTTCTAGAACAGGCTCTGCATTGGTTTCTTTAATGCAAAATTGTTCCAGTCAGCTCACTGCACTACTTGTTAAATGTTAATGTAAATTTTCTCAGGCACCAAAACCGAACGGTAATTCATCAAGTGGACAAAAGCACCACTGAAAGCAAAAAGAAAAGAAAAGAAAAGAAAATAATAATAATAATAATTTTAGAAATTCCGGGGAGATAAACGGGCCACCTCTCTGACTTTCTTCACAGGAAGTTAAAACCAGCAGCGCCTCAGCAGACCTGCGTGCTTGCAAATCAATCACCCTCATTCCCTTTTTGGTGTCTTTGGTGCAGTTTGAGTCAAAACTGTTGTTTTTGTCATGCAATCTCCTGAAAGTGGTGCGGCCAGTTTTTATTTTTTTCGCATGAACTCCTGGTGAACGTCTCACAGCAGCAAAGTTTAAAGCAGCTTTGATTTCATGTGTTTTAAAGATATTTGAGTGTGACTCTTTTAAATGTGAAATTCAAACAATTCTTTTTGTGCGATTGTTCACTTTGAGAATGTGTTTGAGCTGTGTGCCATGCATTCACACAGTAGCACAAACATTCAGAGCCTCCGAGCTCCTCACCGCTCCTCTGTGGTGTAAGTGCCGCTTACTGAAACTTGTACTTGACTCACGGTAAAGTCTCAAACTTTGAATAACTCCAAAAAATCTGATTAGAAATGTGTTATTACATAACAGCGCATAAGCCTAGTTAATACAACGAGCAGTGCCGTGCCACAGTGGCTGTGACGTGTTTTTCTGCTTCAGGCACACATGTGAGCACAAATTCCCAGACTAGGGCAAGTGAGTGGGCGTTAAAGGTTATACAGCCACGAGCCTGCGAAAATTTCCTCCCTCATAAACACAAGTCGGGATGGGACAATAACGAGGAACTGTCGAGAACGAAATCTGAGAAGCTTTAAATGGATAATTTTCGAATCTGTCACGAGGCGGACAGCCAGCTCATATCACTCTGCTGGAAAAAGGTTTGGACAAATGGAAAATCACATTAAAAAGTTGCCAGACAGTCTTTCCACAGTAAATACATGAATGCGAACGAGCGGTCGTCAAGTCTGATTTATACGTGCTGTTGCTAAAATGTGTCTTTGGGCTTTTTTTCAAAGCAAATGAAATAAAAGGCTAAGAAAACACGGACAGACATGGACGTACTTATTCTATTATTGTGCTCTATTACTCTGTTAAAATAAGGACTGTTCTAATTCTTAATCTATTAAAACAGCCTTTATTCTTTATTTTATTAAAGCAGAGCTCTAAGAAAATGTTTCCTCTGATCCAGCAGTTTATGAATTATTTTGTCTCTTAAGAGGATTTCATTATAATATTTTAGCTAGTAGCTGTGCAGATATGTACACTTTAGGTTTCCAAAGGCCAAATTCTTTGAGCATGTTGCGTTTATAGAGCCTTCTCCACATGGAGCCTTGTGTCTTGCAGATAAACATGGGCAATGTCATTGTACAACATGATTACAAAACGAAACGTAGGTCAAGTTTCTAAATTATCTTGGAAATAATTCAAGAAAAAAGTCACTTAGGATGTTCATACATGCTAGGAGCCCGAGTAGGGTGAGACACTGGTTAGTCCCATATTTTCTTTTTTTAGTGCTTCCCTTGTTTGGTAATTCCAACACAGTACATAAAGCAAAATTTCTACAGAACGACATCAGTTTCAATGAGAAACGGCAGTTTGTTGTTTCAATAATTAAAGTGAATTAAAGTGAAGTATTGCAGGGTGAATATTATTTTCTTGAGACCAAAGCTGGGAAGCTGTAAACATCTCTATTTCTCTTTTAAAGCTGGACTTTTCACCATACAGAGGGCCATCTGTGTAATTTAGCTCACTACTGGAACCAGCCTCAGTCAGTGATTACAGGAACTGCAGTTTGTTTGGCACTTCCACATTCATTTTTAATCAATAAGGTCTTTTTTTAAATCAGGAAAGTGTTAAGAAAGAAAGCTGGTTTGGTTCCAGTTTATGAATCACTAAAAACTAAGGCTAAATAAATAAATAAATTAATTAAAATTCTGTGGACACAAAGTCAGTTTTAACAAATTGTTTGATTCTTTATAGATTAGCAGCCCTATTAGGTTGTCATGGCTACAACAAAGTTCAATTAACACCCCAAGAAGCCCAGGATGAGTCTCTCTTTGCTTTTAAAAAAATCTGTTTTTTAATCTGTCTAACGAGAAGGAAAGTGTGAGCCGTGCAGTGTAAATACTGCAGTCACCTGCTACACTGATAGTGATGACAAGAAATGCTGATTATATCTGAACAATGTTTCTGTAGGTGCAGTTTACGGGTGGTACGGACAGCGTGGTCCAGTACATCTACTACCAGCCCATCATCCATCGCTGGAGAGAGACCGACTTTTTCCCGTGCTCCGTCACATGCGGTGGAGGTAAGCAGCATTTTGAAAATCACAATAGGAGCCTGCAGCATTTTCGCTCGACTGATAGCAGGTTTGGTTTAAAAACAGGATCCGTTTAATTCCCAGATATTTATTAAAAGCCTAATATTGAATCGTTGTCCTACTAGATCTCTCTTGATGGTCTCTGATATTTGCTGGCCTGCAGGTTACCAGCTAACCTCAGCAGAGTGCTATGATCTACGGAGCGGACGGGTGGTTGTAGACCAGTATTGCCATTACTACCCGGAGAATGTCAAACCCAAACCCAAACTGCAGGAGTGCAACATGGAGCTGTGCCTGGACAGGTTGGAAAGCAGAACTTAAAGAGGAATAAACTGGACTTTTTCTGAAAGCAAATCCTAATTTACTGTTTCTGACTTTTTAGTGACGGCTACAAGGAAATTATGCCATATGACCAATACCACCCCCTGCCTCGGTACATGCCCGACTACCTAGTAACACACAGAGGCACACAATACAAATCCTGACATCTGCTAATAACCGTCAGTCACTTTATGATGTCACCTTTCATGATGTCAGATGGGAGAGCAGCCCCTGGACGGCCTGTTCCACCTCTTGCGGCGGGGGCATCCAGAGTCGCTTGGTATCGTGTGTGGAGGAGGACATGCAGGGGACCATCACTCCCACAGAGGAGTGGAAGTGTCTTTACTCTCCCAAAACGGCTATCCTGCAGCCCTGCAACACATTTGACTGTCCCACCTGGCTGGCACAGGAGTGGTCACCAGTATGTGAACATTTCTACCTTTGAAATTCTTCTGTCATGTAACGTCTTGTATGTGGTGTCTTTATGAGGCTTGTAAACATATGATGTGTTCCCAATGGGCAACATACAAAAACCCAGTGACACCGCAGCCAGTGTGATCCCTCTGAATAAATTTCCTTTCTGAACCATTGCACATTGAAATGATCAAGGCACTGCATCTGGATCAACCTAACCCTCCTGGTCAGCTTAGTTATTTTGCTTTAATTCTTAGAGTTGCTGTTACATTAACCAATTCTACCATAAATGTTCTATATATCTTCCTCCTGGGAAATTTTCTACCTCACCAGTTGAATGGGCTCATATATAGAAATGTAGCGAGCCAGATTTGTGGCCTCCTAAAAACCTGGGATGTTGTTTATCTAGCACATTCTCCCTCTGCCTTTAAAATGCTTGTTTTGGCAGAGGATAGACAAAGTTCGCTCCCGAGCAGAGAGCTGCTGGGATTTTGGAAGGACTCTTTCTGTACCTCCCTTGAGTCAAAGACTTTCTATCAAATATGAGAAAAGCCTATTACTAGGAATTAACACATGGAAAAATAGGTTGATATGCTTGCTATCTGTGACTGCATGTCCTGTCATCCCCAGTGCACAGTGACTTGTGGTCAGGGACTGCGCTACAGGGTGGTGTTATGCATCGATCACCGTGGCCTGCACGCCGGAGGCTGCAACCCTACCACCAAACCGCACATCAAAGAGGAGTGCCTGGTGACTGTGCCCTGCTACAAGTCCAAAGGTGGGTGATTTTGCACGTTTTGTCATGTTTTAAATATAGAGTGGCGCTTATGTTCAGCCTCATTTTTGCATCATTTCCTGTAGATACACTACCAGTTGAGGCAAAACCTGTGTGGCATAAGCAGGCCATAGAGCTTGAGGAGGAAGTCACAGCCAGTGAGGAACCAACGTGAGTACCAGCACTCAAGAAGAAAAAGCTAAACTGTCTTTCTGACTCTTAAAGCATTTGAGACCTTCATCACTAAGCCTCTTTGGACCAGTCAGAGGTGCAAGTCCTGTTAAAACCATTGCAGGTGTTTGGGTCTTGCTGCACTTTACTATTCTGGAAAGATGCAACTGCTAAAGCTATACAAGGTAAAGTTTATCACCCGGAAAAGAAGGGGAAAATCTACAGCATTAAATTACTCTTGGTCCTCAAGGTTAAAAAAGCAAAAAGTCAGATCCCAGTTACACAGTTTCAACAACCAGCAGCTTAGGACTAACCTGGAGGTGAAATTGAAGTAGACAGAGCACGGCACTGGCACGTAAAGGCTACAGTATCAAGGTTGTGTTCATGTCAGCAGCAATTTCCATCAACATGGAGTCCAACAGGAGCGTTTACTACAAATCCAATTTCAAAAAAGTAGAGACTCTGCGTAAAATGTAAATAAAAACAGAATGCTTTGATTTGCAAATCTCATAAACTGTATTTTATTCACAGTAGAAAATGCACTAAATATTTAAATGGAGAAAACCTACCATGTTATGCAAAAGATTTCCTCATTTTGAATTTGATGACAGCAATGCATCTGAAAAAAATATTCCCATGTGGCAGACGGGTCTGCCCCGGATCTGGTGTCAAGCTGGCACTGCTGGCTGACTTCTGGCATGGTAAGTGGTATGTCCTCCAGATATGGGCCAGGTCTGGTGTAGATGGCACTGTTTATGTGATGGCATGCCACATCTGGCCCAATTATGGTTTGGTTTATGTAGCCCAGGCCCATAGAAAACAGGTCTTCCCCGGATCCGGCATCAAGCTGGCACTTCTGGCTGACTGGTGTCATGGCAGGGTGTATGTCAACCAGATGTGGGCCAGGTCTGGCAATGATGGCATTATTTATGTTCCTATTCTCCTATTTTAGTTAGAAGACCCAAATGCCATGTTGCAATACTATACTGCTATGGTAGCCAACGTTTCAAATTCAGGTTTGACAGGTTCGTGAGTGTACACTTTATCCAAAACCTGGTGAGGGTTTGTTCATATTTACCACTGGGTGGCTGTGGCTCAGGAGGTAGAACAGGTCACCTACTGATGGGAAGGTTAGTGGTTCGATCCCTGGCTCCTCTAATCTGCATGTCAAGAGTGGGAATTTGTATGCATTCAGTTTAGAGTAGAAAAGCGCTATATAAGAATCAGTCAGTTCACTGTCTGAACCGATTTTTGTCATGTTACTTTCGCACTATTGTATATTACATAGGTTTACCAGAGGTAATCCACACATGGGCCTGCACATAACCACCAGTGTGTCTGCAACTGGCCTTGTGCTGGCCCATGTGTGGGCCACCTCTGGCAAACCAGATCTGGGCCACCAAAGGGCCGTCATTCTTTGCGGTATGTGGGCCATGTGTAAGCACATTGTGTGGGCCAGATCTGGGCTATACCAATTTTGCTGTGTGGGTTGGGACAGCTTTTGGAAATGAGCGCTGATAACAAGCCAGATGGTCCTGCTCCTCTTTAGTCTGGTAGAAATGGTGTCCATGTTTTCCAGGGAGAATTTCACATCCAGAGAAGATGTTGGCGCCTGTACATCATGTTCATATGTGGTTTCTTCCTTGCATGATGCAGCATGTTAACCTGCAAGTGTAGATGGCACAGTGAATGGTGTTCACTCGCAGTGATCTCTGGAAGTATTCCTGAGTCCATGCAGGAATATCTGTGACAGACTCAGGCCTTCTTTTAATGCTGTGCACACTGAGCGATAATCATTTTTTGGACTTGTCTGATGCGCACAGAGATTTCTCCAAATTCTCTGAATCTTTTGATGATATTATGCACTATAGATGATGAGCTATTCAAAGTCTTCACAATTTTACAATTATACCCAGTTATGTTACTGACCTGTTGCCAGTTATTTCATACTTGCTGCCTTGGTCTTAAATAAGCACTATGTGCTCCTTTAACCCTTGTTTTGAGCCAACTCCACTCTGATTGGTTTTCCAGTTTAAACAGACAGTTTAAACAGGAGGCTTTTCTTATGTATTCCTAAATTAGGGACATCCTCTGTCTTGAGCAGTATCATGGGGATTATTTGCACACATGCTGACTGACGTCTTTATTTTGAACTTTATTTTGTTTAATATGATCACCCAAGGAAAAGCACAATAGGTCCACTTAAAGGTACATTTGAGGGTGGTTGAAAGTGTTTCTTGTCACCTGCATGGAACTAATAAAACGTTGTATGGGGCTATTGAAGGGAAGAAGGGAAACTAAAGGTGAAGAGTCAAAACATCTTTCGGAAAGCCTTAAGAATGTACAGTCGCTGGCTACCAGCATTACCTCAGCAAGCTCTCACACGTTCCAGATGTTCTTGCCCCACACATCAGTTAGCTAATAATGGCCGTCTTCTGAAAATGCACAATATTTGGACTCTGCCCAGTGTCTTGCATGACTTGTATTAGCAACCATGTTAGCCAGTTTAAAACATCTGTAACTCTGACTTATCTGTAGAGTGAGAGAAGTGCCAAAACATATGATTTTGCTCAGCTGCAAAAAATAAAAAAAAGCATGTCTGTCCTCAAAAAGCACATAAATATCTGTGTATAATATGCCGTCATCCACAAGCCAACAACAATATCTGCCCACCATATGGGGCCAGGTTACAGATGTGAGAGGAAAGAGAATGAAATTCCTGTGCTAGACTTATTGCACCTCCGTTGCCTGCGCCGAAACCCACCGCTGCGCGGCTGCTTGAAAAATTAAACCCATATATGTTCTCCAATCAAGCCAAAACATTTTTTCACCGTGAGTAAATAAAATATTTCCACTGATGGATATTTAATTGATACGATTAACATGGGGCTTTGGCGGATGTGACAAAAATGTGTTGTTTCCCTCCATGAATGAAATCGGGATCGTTTTTGAACTGACAGATGTACTTTAACGGCGCATGAAGATAAACATTTCTGTGGGTTCGCTCGTTGACTTTGTCGTTCCTGTTCCAAAGTCTAACTGCCGGTGATTCATTTGTTTGCCCGTAACACAATGAGTCCTTGAGCTCTTGTACAGAGCCAGCTTTGCCTTAATCATGAGCTCTTTATTGAGGCGTCTTATAAAACAGCAGGGTCCTCTTGTGTTGCGGTCAGACTGTTAAACCAAGGAAGAATGCGGCACAGTGGTGAAGGCTGCCATGCAAAATATGCTTTGCTACCATTATGAGCTTATTAAAGAAAGATAAAGATAGTTTGTCAGGTTCACAAACGCTGTTAGGAAGCAGTGCTTATACTTGCACATTATGTACTTTACCGATTTAAACCGTTTTGTTTTCACCTCAAAAGATTTGTAGTGCTCACTTAGGTAGTTCACTCGTTTCTTTTCATTGCTAAGTGATTGCAGAGGAATTTGACTGCATGTTCTTCCTTCTGATTGGCTCCCTGCCATAAGCAGAAGGTTTTAACAGCAGGTGGGCGTGGCTTCTGTCCTCCCACACAGATCCTATTGAAGAGATCCCTTCTCTCTGACATTGTAAATGGTACATCATTCCTATCTAACTTTCTTATTCCACTGAATGCATCTGAGAGCCTGGGATTCGGGATCTTGCCCAAGGCTACTTAGTTGGCACTTCAGCACTGCAAACATGTCCTTTTGTGCAATAAAAATAAACATCCTTAAAAATTGTGGGCAATCCCACTGTTTTCCACATAAACTGAAATCAGCTGATCGGCATGTTTAATGTGTTTTTCTTTCTGTCTGTCTGCCCGTCGTGCAGATAATTGAAGTAACAGTAACCTGATTACTGAAGTAATTACAGTGGCGTGGTACATTACTCAGTTTAACGTCTAGCACTCGCAACACGGAAGCACTGAAATAAAGTCATACACTCGCTTTGTGTCTTCTTGTGTTCAGGTTTAGCAAATGGAAGTCGTTAATCTAGGGGGGAAATGTAGCTATTTTATAAGACTAATAGCTTTGCCACTACCTATCTGCTACATGAAAAACTGCATCTTGATTCAGACACACACACACACATACATCTGCTCATGACTGTGCAGAGCTGATGGTTCTGATGGATGTAGTTTTGTTTTTTTACTTTCACATATGTCTCAAATGACCATCCTTATCAGCTACTCATTCGATCAATGACAGCTGTGATTTAGAAACACAGTTCAACCTGTGCCTCTGGTCTTAAAAACTTTCGCATGTACTCAACACCTCCAATATGACATATGTGCAAGTCCTTTAAAGTCTGTCTGCCAAAAAGGAACCAGAAGCGTTGAGCTCAGACCTAAACAGGACAGCTGCTCTGTGTTGTAAACATCAGGCTATTGTCCAAAAGCTACAGTCCACACTGTAAGTATTTGGACAGCTGGACATGTGTTTTGTTGTTAAGGCTCTGCGCTCCAAATGATTGATACCACGCGAAAGGGCCAAGACTCAGTTTTAATTTGAGTATTTTCCTATCAACTGTAAAGAAACTTGTGGTGAAAAATACCCATAAATTATCTGATATATGTTATTTTATTTCCTTTGTTTGAGGCACTGCAAAGGGTAAAAGTGAGAGGTTGTCCCCTCAGACGGACACTCTCTGCTGTCAGCTTAGCGGTGCATCTGTCACAGAACTGAGCACTTGCTTACTGGTAATATAAGATGTTAATAGGAAGGCCTCGTTTATTTGCTCTCAGGTGCACATTGTGGGACAGACGCTGTCTTTTTATGTCCATATATCAATAAGTGAGTATCCAGAGTTTTCACAAGGACATAATGAGCACAAGAACCACTTTGAATGATCTCCTAAACCACTTGATTTAATATCACTGAGTCATATAGAGCTTCTGTTCATTTCTGTGTGCATTTTCAGCAAAGTTATAGAATCAGTTCAATCTGAAGAGCGCTTTCAAACTCCTTTCTGTATCACACCTTCTGATCTTTTACCCTCTCTGATTTCTGTTGAAGGAGTGATAGTTCAGTCTCTGGGCCTTTCAGGTTTTTCTTCCCCTCATCCATTTTTTAAGATGAGGAAGGATGCACATGAAAGCTGTTTATCCAAGAATAGCTGATCGTAATGTTTCACAGCTGTGCAATTAATCACGCTGCACTGACTGTATTTCATAAATGCTTAATGAGTTTAAGAACCCAGCCACTAATGAATACAATGTGTTTACAGAGAAAACTAAAAAAGACAGCAAAAACAAAACAAAACAAAACAAAAATCGACTGTGATTTGCTATCAAACAGTCCAGGTTTGGTTTGGAAACAGTCCTTATCAAAATTTTCATACTTTTCCACTTGAGTCATCTGTTGCTTGCTCTCCTCTCCAGCTTTATCCCCGGTCCCTGGCAGCCCTGCAGCAGGACATGTGGTGCTGGGACCCAGCATCGGACGGTCAAGTGCCAAGTGCTGCTGTCTTTCTCCCAGACAATCGTGGACGTGCCAGATGATGAATGCGAGGGGGTCAAACCTGCTACCAGCCAGCCTTGCTACAGCAGTCCCTGCTCTGTAGATTTGGGTGAAGCAGGAGAAAGTGAAGAGGTGGAGGAAGAGGAGGAGAAGGGCAGGACACTGCAAAAAGAGGAACTGTACGACTGGGAGTACGAGGGCTTTACTGAGTGCTCAGAGAGTTGTGGGGGAGGTATGATCTTTATTGATCTCTCTGACATGGGAAAGTAAAGAGAGAGAAGTTGAAAGAGTAGATTTGGGGAGTTGAAAAGTTAACTCGTGTCTGCAGCTATGCTGACACCCTCCCAGTGACAATAAAAATATGCTGGCGCTTAGCAGGTGTAACATTTACCACATCTCCAGTCTTAGGTCAGCATGTTAGCATGTCTGCGATCACTGTTTTCTGCAATCCTTCTGATGCTGTTTCCCTTTAAAACCAAAAATATTAGCCTTATCGTGGCCCTAGAAGAAAAACTCAGGAGATCTCACAAGTCAGCTCTGCATCCTGTGGGGGACCATGTGCAGATTTCATAGCAATCCATCTCAAAACATTTTCTAATATGCTTCACAAAAATATGTAAAATTTACTTCCAACTGAATCAGGGACAAATATGCTCACATTTAATTTTTTTTTTCTTCTACTTTTGGCTGATATCGCTGTAGAAATACGCCTACGCATTTTGGCACAGTCTTCATCAGGTACAAAAGTTCAAATGCTCTGAAGACTGCGTGCTGAATCGTGTCAGTTTATTTCTGCTGTGACGCGAGACCCACTGAAAAGTTTATTGCGAGTATTTCTGTCCTTTATCGGTGTTTGAGATGTGCTGCGTTTTTGCATCTCTTTAAATATACTTCTTGGATTTTCAGTTTAGCTCTCTACTGAAGCTTTCACTGTTTATGCATCCTTTTATTTTCACTCTGGTGGATCCAGAGACAGTGCCAACCCTGGAGCTGTACACCTGTGGTGGCTCCAACGCGCAGAGCAGATTTGTAGATTATGCTGCGAGTAAATACATCAGCAGCAGACAAGTGCTGTTATGTAGCTTGATTTGACAGTAAGTCTTGAAGACCAAGTCAACTCCGTGAGTGCCACTAAGTACGTCCCAGCTGATTCATTAAAACAAATGTGATGTGCTCCAGCCTTAAACTATTGTCACTGGATGTCTGACGCCAGTAAATGCCTCGAGCAGATGCAAATCATATCATATTAAATGATAGCGGATGGCATAGAGGTCATACGTCGCCAGTGCTCAAGGCACTGGGAAAATGCTTTGCCAGACAGAGACCGCTTTCTTAAATATCCTGCCAACATGCATTGAGGCCCACTTTAATCTTCCTACCTACACATGCAAGCATGCGTGCCTGCCTCATGTGCGTTTGCCTTAATCTCTGCGTGTGTGCGTTTGTAACTTAATTTCTGCACACGGGTGTGGGCTTTTGTCAGTGTCTGCGTATGCGCTCATCCAAATTCAACAAACTCCCATTCGGGGATGATTACACTCCGGTATCAGATGTCCGATGCACACCCTGAGGGCTGTGCTCCTGTGGACCATCACACTGCTATGGTGTTTGAAGTTCCTGCTTCGCTGTTATTGTCCCCAACATTAGAAGCAGACTCGGGGAGTTATGTTACATTACTTTTAATATGACTTTGCATGAAAACTCTGAGAGTGCATCCACAAGTTGATGCAACCAAAGTGTTTTAATGTATTTTGGACCCTAAAATCTTCCTTTTTAATTACAGCGTCTGCAAAAAAGCAAGCATGACATTGCTGTGTTCTCTAACCGCAGGTGCGCAGGAGGCTGTGGTTATCTGCCTGAACAAGCAGACCAGAGAAGCAGCAGACCAAAGCCTGTGTGTGAGCTCTCGGCGACCCCCACGACTCCTCCAGGACTGCAAAACTCAGCCCTGCCCACCCAGGTACAATAAAAACCCCTAACTCAGACCTCATTATCGTCATCATTATTATTTAAACATGTTTCAAACGGTTTGTGCATGAAAATTAAAAAGGATTTGATTAATGGATGTAGTAAAAATAGGGAGGAAATGCATTTTTGGGGGATGGAAAAAAACGTTTGGCTACGTTTAAGAGAAAAATATTAATTAAAGTCAGGAAAAAAATATGGCTGTGCTTTCTCTTAGCTTGCCAAGAGTGCATCCATCCAAAAATGTGCAATATTCAGTACAAAAGTGGAACGCTGATGTACCACTTTTTCAGAGCCTAGATAAATTCTTAGCTGAATCGGTTAAGTTTGACGGTTCGTTGGTAGAGAAAAATTCAAAAGCTTCTAATCCGCTGTGTTATGCCTCTTGGTTCAAACCAACTGGGGCAATTAAATCTCTGTTAAGGCTGCTCGAGTCCAAGAGATACTAAAGCAGAACGACAGAGATGGATGGTTGTATCTCTGCAAGCAGCAAATTAAACCTTGTGGAATCTGACAGTGATTAGCTTTACCTGCGAGGTTCAGTTGTCCTTGGAAAGGGAAATCTAGGAGGCTTCAGCTGTTTTTCTAAGTGATTTCTTTTGGCAAGCTCTTTTTACAACTAGGAATGGCCTTCAGTGATTGCATGTCATATTGACAAATTCGCCACATTACCAGAGGGGTTAACAATGTAGGGTTTATCCTGAGGGGATGCTATTGAAAAGCCTGTGGGTGGGTAAGTAATGTTATGCAGTCAAGCATGACTTATGTTAATACATGTAATGGCAGTCTTCCCGTTTCCCTCTCCAGGTCAAAATGTAGGTCCAGAGAAAAAAAAGGGAATCATTGAAGTAACTGTGATCATCCTCTGGGGAGCGTTCAGTGCTTGCTACATTTCAAGCTCAAATTATTTTTGATATTACAAGTTTAAGCTGTGCTGTTAATGTTTAAGCCAAAATGTAGCTTCTTTTTTTTTTTGTTCAATCCAACATACGAGCAGTTTATAAACACTGTTAGAATTTCACATTTCAAATTTCAAATCATAAGTATTTTTTTTGTGAACCTACCAGATTGATGCACGTCCAGATTAAACACCTAAAAGGTCAAACAGCAAAACTGCATGTTGTTTAACATGAGCAAACTGTGGCTAAATGGTGAGTGGACTTTGTGGTTGGCCACACGTTTCAGGTTAACACCGTGCACATTGTCAGTGTTCTACCCCTCACACTCTTGTCAGAAAACCCAGAGGCTTGCAGCCTGCCCTTGCCTGTTTTTCCAGGCTTTGAGTCTTGTTTTTAGGCACAACAAATGCAGTATTGGGCTTGTTTCCTTTGGCCCTTTTCTCCCTCCCTGAGGCCTCCTCACCATCCCATATTAAGCTACACTCTTTGGATAGTGTTCCCCCTGAAAGGAAAACAGCCATAGGATTTAGCTTTGAGTATAGCAGCGGTCCATGAGCAAGCTTCATTCCCAATTCTTCTCAGAGCCTTAAATAAATATGAGTAGTTTTGAAATATCACCCAATCTGTCGAGCAGAAAATGAAATTGCTGCCATCTCATTTCAAGCCAAAACTTTAAAGGCATGGCAACCACTTGGACACTGGCCACAATTTGGAATAAATCTGCCAAAGTAACTTTGATGCTGGATTAAACCCAGTTTAAAATTTTGTTGGGCAGCAACATGAATATTAATTCCAGTAGTTCATTGGAAAAATACAAATGAAAAAGTAATGCAATAGGGATTTCTTGAATATCGTGAAGCTCGGTGTGGGATTTTATGTTTCATGTCTTTTTCACTTGTATTCACCTTCATGATTTTACATATTCATAAGACTGCAAAGGTGTTCTCTCACTGGATCAAGAGATATATGTACAGTACTATTTACAGTGCTATGAAGTATAGATAAGATAAGATAAGATACCTTTATTAGTCCCACGAGTGGGAAATTTCATGTGTGCAATGTACTGTAGATTTGCCATAATGAGCACAATAAACATTGTTCTAACAGGTGGGAAACTGGAGAGTGGAGCTCCTGCTCAGCTACATGTGGGGTAGGTCTGATGATTCGCACTGTGGGGTGCACACACCGGCCCTCTCGTGACAGCAATCACACTTTAGTTTTGAGGGACGAAGACTGTCAGAACCCCAAGCCCAGTCCTCTCCAAGCCTGCAACCGCTTTGACTGCCCTCCTATGTGGGACACGCATGACTGGGGACAGGTAAAGGACATCATCTATAAAGTTTACCACTGCAAGTGTCTGACGATTGGGAATCAAGCGCATGTGACTGATTTAATCTCTGCGTGTTTTTGCACCCAGTGCTCCCAAAGTTGCGGTGGTGGGGTTCAGAGGAGGCAGGTACTATGCAAGCAACGGTTGGCTGATGGCAGCATTCTGGAGCTACCTGACACGTTTTGCCCTACTAAGAGTCCTACAAGCCAGCAGCCCTGTGGTGAGCAGGAATGCCCACCTGAGTGGGTCACAACTAGCTGGTCCCAGGTAGCCTACCTTTCAGCCAGAGACCATTCTGCCATATTGCTGTTGTTCAAATGGACATGTTAAAACTGGTACTTTGCAGGTTTTGTTTATTTTAATACATTTCTCTTGTTTTTCCAGTGTTCAGTGACATGTGGAAATGGTATTCAGACCCTCCAAGCTGTTTGCAGGAAGAAAGAGGTGAATGGAAGGTATTTGACAGCAGACCCTAAGAACTGTTCCCTGCTGGCTCGTCTCGACAGAATCCGACCATGCTTCTTCAAGCCCTGTGAAAGTAAGATACTCTTTATTTGGCTGTGTTTATGTAAGTTATACTGCATAGAACCAAAAGAAAAGGGAGTTAGCTCCCTTTTCTTTTGGTTCCTTAAATGCAAAGTTTTGTATGTCCAAAAGTACAGATATTTGAGCCAACAATCAAGCATTAACCTGTCCTCTTAATTACAGACTCTGTCAAGCCTGATGCCACCATACTGGCTCAGAGAAAAGTTTATATCCAGTGGCATAAAGGCAAAAAGGTTCACCTGGGCATTGGTGGTTATGCGTACATCCTGCCTTGGACAACTGTGGTCCTTCGCTGCCCAACCCGCCACTTCCGTAAGGGCCAAATCCACTGGTTGAAGGAAGGGAAGCCCCTGATCAACCTACCACACCTCTCCATAACGTCACTAGGATATGTGAAGATCCATCAGGTTCGTGCATCTGATGCTGGGATATATACATGTGTCGCAGGTGAGGCACAAGAACATTTAGTCTTACAGATCATTGGCAGCAAGCAAAAGCTGTCTGTAGCAGAGTCAATGCTCAGACGACAAAAGGTTGGGCGACCGGATGCGATCTCAGCTCAAGAAAGATTTCAGGAGCTTCACAGCTCCCTCAACCGATATGATGGAATTATTGAGCGTTTGCTTAATCATAAAGAATCCATTCGAGATGAAAAATATATCGCTGACAAATCACCTGCGAGTGAAAAGAACAGTTCTACCCTGGAGGATGAAGGGTCAGAGATTTACATCCCAGAGGTCCTCGTTGCCGACACACGCAGGCTAGAGGAGATCATGAAAAACTTTGCCGAAGACCTTGGAGGACTACGGGAGGAACAACTTATCGCACAACTGCTTAGTGAGCTCACTGTGGCACAGGGTGAAACGAATGAGTCGACTCTTCACCCTCCAGAAAGTGCTGAATCTTCCACGCAAGAGCCACTCCATTATAAACCAAACACTAAAGTCCACACAGCCAGACCAAGAAACCCGCTGATAATCCAACGTTCGAAAAAGATTGGAGAGGGGCCACAATCTGAAATGATAGTTTATGTGGGAATGCCAGTTTTCCTGCAGAAACCAGTTGTTAGTTTAGTGTTGAAGTGTGAAGCAGTAGGAAATCCTGACCCATCAGTGACATGGTCGAAGAATGGGAAAGAGTTGCGCTACAGTAGCAGGTAAGAACTAACCTTGAAGTAAGAACTTTTTGTGAAAATGACATGGCTGCCTGTGGCTTTTTTATGATTATATCAAAGACCTGGATAAGGCTTCATAGATAGCTTGTCTTTGTGTTGGCAGAGTAGGCCTGTTGCCTACAGGATCACTGAGGATCCAGTACCCAAGCAAAGGGGATGAGGGTTTGTACACCTGCACTGCCAGAAACCGTTTTGGAAGGACATCTCTTTCATCTTCTGTGCAAATTACTGGTAAGGTTTATAGATCCGTAAGTTTCAATGGTTTATACAGAAGCTCCTCCTTCTTGTGGTTCAAGCTTCTGCTTTGAGATGTTTTGAAAGTGGCCTTGAAGCGAGTAGAAGGCAGCTAAGGTTCTCAGTCACACAGGCTTAGAGACTGGTCATGAGATATCTGACAACCAGTGTTGGTCAAGTTACTTGAAAAAAGTAATCAGTAACTAATTACCGATTACTTCCCCC